GGAATCAGGTGGGCTGAAGAGGGTGAGAGGCCTGCAGGACATGCTCGAGCTGGCCTACATCAATGTGGGGCAGATGTAAATTTAGGTGGAGCTTGCCATGCTGTTGGGGCTGGACCCGATCTGGTTTCTTTGCAAGAACTATTTAAGAAACAGCAGTTGCAAATTGAAAGCATTATAAAAGGTCTGTCTAAGATGGAAACTGTACTTGACCAATCTGTTTCTCGTGTCAATAAGCCCAACTACCAGTTTACTGCAGATGGCCAACCCATTTGCCTCCGCTGTCGGAAGCCTGGGCATGTCCTCCGCCAGTGTCGCCAGGGTCAGAGGCCACAAGCATCCAGCGTACCCAGTGACCGGCCAGAATGCAGCCCGGCTCCAGCTGCTGTAATATCGTCAGGTATGGGTTTTGCAGAAGAATCAATCGCTAATGATCACATTGTTTATGATGGTCACCCTAAGCAGGCCCCTCCCCTTGCAAACAACCTGCGACCCCTCATAGGTAAATGTCCTGTGGTAGAGGTACAGATGGGTGGTGTAAAGGTAAAGTGTTTGCTGGACACAGGTTCTATGGTCACAACCATAACAGAGTCACTCTTTAAAAAGGTGTTTCAACACTGGGATGCCCCTAAACTTAAAACATGCGGGTGGTTAGCTTTGAAGGCTGCCAACGGCCTAGAGATTCCCTATGTTGGATATCTTGAGTTGGATATCCAGGTGTTGGGTAAAAAGATTCCAAGTCGTGGGGTCTTGGTGTTGAAAGACACTGCTTCTGCCTTACAGCAACACAATGTGCCAGGGCTTTTGGGGATGAATGTAATCACAGAATGCTATAGAGAGCTATTTGCCCAACAAGGGGACGCATTGTTTTCCTCTTTGTCTGCCTCTTTGTCTGCCATCCAGGCAGAGACAGGCTGGGGGCCAGCTCTCCGCTACTGTCACAGACTCGAGGCCTGCCCACTAGTTCCGGGGGGTAGTGTTCGTGTCCTCAGCAGGACTGGGGAGTTTATACCCGCTGGATCAGTAAAGTTTGTGCAAGTGACCTGCCCAAAAATTCCATACGCTCCGCCCACCACCATGCTTTTAGAGCCTGGGGGCTCAGATCTTGCTCCAGGCCTGCTTTTGTCCCCTTCCCTAGTGACAGTCGAAAACGGTGTTGCTTTTGTGCCGGTGGTTAATGTGGGAGCCACCGGAGCTGCAGTCCACTTTAAACAGGTGTTGGGTACATTGCATTTTGTTGAGGGGATTGAGGGGTCAGAACTGAGTTTTGAGGAGGAACATGTGGAGGGTGAAGTGGAGGAAGTCGTGACGGTAGTCAGCGCACAGGTTGTTGCAGAGGCCCCAGTTACCATTTCTGAAACTATTTCAGCCTTACGTTGGCCAGGGCTTTCACCTGCAGAAGAAATGCAGGCAAGGGAGCTGATAGGGAAGTATAGTCAAGTCTTCGCTAAACATGAGGGAGACCTAGGGTGTACTGATGAGATTGTACATGAGATTCCACTTCTTGATGAGGTCCCTGTCCGCCAAAGATATAGACGAATTCCCCCTACGCAGTGGCAGGCAGTTAAGGATCACATTAAGCAGCTGCTTGATAGTAAAGTCATCCGGGAGAGCAGCAGTCCTTATGCTTCCCCCATTGTGTTGGTGCGCAAGAAGACTGGAGAGATTAGGATGTGTGTGGATTACCGGCAACTCAATGCTAAAACTCGGAAAGATGCCTACCCACTACCCCGCATCGAGGAAACTCTGGATGCTCTTGCTGGCGCTCAATGGTTCTCCACATTAGATCTGGCAAGTGGCTACAATCAGGTCCCTGTCGCTGAGAAGGATAGAGCCAAGACAGCCTTTTGTACGCCTTTTGGACTGTTTGAGTTTGAGAGAATGCCTTTTGGCTTGTGTAATGCTCCTGGGACTTTTCAGAGACTTATGGAAAGAATATTTGGTGACCAGAGCCTTCAGTCAGTCCTTCTCTATCTGGATGATGTCATTGTTTTCTCTACCTCCATAGAACAGCATCTGCAGCAGTTGGAGATGGTCCTCAGCAGATTCCAAATGAAAGGCCTGAAGGCCAAAATGAGCAAATGCCACTTCTTTCAGAAAGAGGTGCAGTACCTTGGACACCGGGTGTCCAGTGAAGGAGTGGCAACTGATCCAGACAAGATTTCTGCCGTGGAAAACTGGAGGGTACCCCGAGATGTGACTGAAGTAAGATCTTTCCTTGGGTTCTGCAGCTATTACCGTCGCTTTGTAAAGGGGTTTGCACAATTGGCTGCGCCCCTACATCAACTGGTGGCAAATGTCATCAGAGTAGCCAAAGAAAGCAGAAAAAGGCCAGCAGTTATACTGCCTACCATGTGGACGGAGGAATGCAATCACAGTTTCAGTGAATTGAAGAGGATGTTTACTAGTACACCCATCTTAGCCTTTGCCGACTTCACAAAACCTTTTGTCCTAGAGGTGGATGCTAGTCATCAGGGACTAGGAGCTGTACTGTCACAAGACCACCAGGGCAAATTAAGACCAGTGGCATATGCAAGTCGTTCACTGAGGGGTTCAGAGCGCAACATGGAGAACTATAGCTCTATGAAACTAGAGTTCCTGGCACTGAAGTGGGCAATATCAGAGAAATTCAGGGAATATTTGTTGGGCAGTAAGTGCACAGTGTACACTGATAACAATCCCTTAAGCCATTTTCAGAACATTAAGCTGGGGGCCACTGAGCAAAGATGGGCAGCTCAATTAGCAGCTTTTGACTTCACTGTGCATTACAAACCTGGAAGAAACAATGGAAATGCTGACTCTCTCTCTCGCCAGTACAGTGACCAGGATGTGCCTCAAGAGCAGCCGAACCAACATGCCAACACCTCCTCAAATATTTCGCCTGACGTCGCGAAACCTGTGGTAGTGGCACAGCAGCAAATCGGAGTCTTCCCAAGCAGATCACCAGACGATCTGGCTACACTGCAAGGTGCTGACCTCACCATTGAAGTCTTTCTTTCATTCTGGAAAAGAGGAAAGCCACCAAATATGGAAGAGAGGTTACTACTCTCAAAGGATGTCAAGCATCTTGTCCAGCAATGGGATCGCATTCTGGAAAAAGAGGGTGTACTGTATAGGCAGGTCACAGCCCCTCATGGGGAAGTCTATGCACAACTGCTTCTGCCCATGTGCCTGCACGAAGAACTTTTAAATAACCTCCACGACAAACATGGACACCAGGGGGTGCGACGGACCACTGACCTGGCCAGGCAGAGATGTTACTGGCCTGGTATGGGGGCTGATATAGAGAACCACTGTCGGAGTTGCCAACGCTGTGTATTGTCAAAAGCTGTCCAGCCTGGGGTGAAGACCTACCAGGGTACTCTGTTGGCCACCCAACCAATGGAGATACTGGCCATAGATTTCACCTTGCTGGAGCCTGCAACTGACGGTAAAGAGAATGTGCTGGTCATGACCGACGTGTTCTCGAAATACACGCAGGCGGTGCCAACTAAGGACCAGACTGCTCTCACGGTAGCGAAAGTCCTAGTCAACAGCTGGTTCCACCGGTTCGGCGTACCAAAGAGAATACACTCTGATCAGGGGAGAAACTTTGAGAGTGCCCTCATCCGGCAGGTTTGCCAGTTATATGGGATTGAGAAGTCCAGGACTACGCCATACCATCCACAGGGAAATGGCCAATGTGAGAGATTCAACCGGACACTTCACGACCTGCTCCGATCTCTTCCCCCGGAGAAGAAGCGTGTATGGCCAAAGTACATCTCCCAGCTAGTGTGGGCATACAACACCTCAGCACATCGCTCGACTGGGAATACCCCTTATAGCTTAATGTTTGGTGTGCCACCACGGGTCCCTGCAGATTTTCTCTTGGGAGAAGGTACCCCAGAAGACACAACCAGCTCCTGGGATGAGTGGGTCCAGCAGCATCGGGAACGGCTACAAGTAGCAAGAGACTTGGCACGAAATAACCTACAACAGGCAGCAGACTACCGACAGCAACATCACAACCAGCAGGCACGCGATGCAGGTTTTACAGAAGGACAGCTGGTCTACTTGAAGGATCATCAATGTAAAGGTCGTCGCAAGATCCAGGATGTCTGGTCACCAGTTCTTTATCTGGTGGTTAGCGTGCCCACTGAGTCTGGTGGGCCGTACACCATTACCAGAGCTGATGGCACTGCTGATGTTCGGCGGGTGCATAGGGCCGAGATGAGGGCAGCGCATCTTGAAATTCTACCATCTGCACCAATGACACTTAACCCATGTCTGTCGTCCAGCAACCAAGACATCCCTGCCAGTGACTCCGGCAGTAGTGAAGATGAAGAGATCCTGGGTTGGAGAAGTAAAAGAAGACTCCCTCAAAACCCTGATTCAACTCCACAGGATGTCCCACAGCCCTTCCCCAACCGAACATCCAGCACCCAAGGTGCAGTCAATGGCGATTCAATCATACTCCCTGGTAGGCAGGAGGCACTACCATCCCAAAGAGAGGCGTCAGCTCCCAGAAGAACAACCCGGGCTACTGCTGGAAGAAACCTAAACCCACATAACCTTCCAAGGTCCACAGTGACTAGCAACAACGCAATGGGTGTGGTGAGGGCGGCTGCTCCCTGGGTGCCTGAAATGGTTAATGCCCACTTGTTTAGACCCTGGTTGTGAGTAACTTGTCGTCGGGGCGACGACACTTTTTGATGGGGTGAATGTGGGAATCTGACGTCATTGTCACCTGATGCGGTCACATGACCGGTGACCGAGTAAACAGGAAGCCATACAAAGTTTGCCGTCAGTTCAAGAAAGTCTCTCTTGGCTGCTTGTCACTGGTCTTCTCCCTCTCACAAAGGGCGAGTGCAAGACGAGAGTTTACCATTGACGGAGGAAAACTTTCCCGACAGGCACAAGACCGGAGCTTAATGTACACAACCGGCCCAGCTACCCGGGATATTAAGTGACCATTTCCCCGACAGGATTAAGCCGAGTTGGAAACCTACTCTGTGGAAGACCAGGCCAGCCACTGTCCTATAGTGTTTCTTGTGTATTTTCTTACCCATTTTCTTCATGTGCAGTGTATGGCAGTATAATCATTTTAATATTTGTGTCGTAGGTTGCGCTCCTCTGCGGCGTAGGCCTGGGCCCGGGTGGAACGCTGCCTGCCTTCAGTGTAGGGACTGCACGGTGTGACACTTTATTTTCTGTATGCTAAATAACTCACTGTTATTATTTTATAGAGATTGTGGTTTAAATATTGCATGCTTATGTTGTTTTGGTGTGTGGCTTTTCTTGTTTTTGTCCCTCACGATTAGCAGGCACTGCAACCCAGCGGACCGGGCCTGCCCAACTGAGGAGGGTAACTTATATATGTATTGAATTGTATTTGCCATTTTTATACTGGACATGAATCGACATTTTAAACTGTTTCCAAACACTTATTAAATAAAGCTGTGTTATGTTTTTGGAATTCATGCCTCTGTCATAATTGGACCAATTAAGGGAAGCTTTAAACAAAGCGATCCACGACTTACATTTAGGGTCCACGGGTTCCTCCTGCCCCTTAGCAGGAGGTGGCGTTGTCAAGTACTAGCTTTACATGTGGCAACCTCAGTCACGGTTACCACAGATATAAACATGTAAGTGTATCAATGTGTAAAGGACCCTTTTTTTACCATTTCACTTCAGCCATGTTAGCACTCTGAAACAATTGGGGATCATTGATGCTTTGAGATGGACGCTAACTTTAGTATGCTAACCTGCTCAATATGATGACACTTCCACTGCTAATATTAAGCGGGACAAATTTTACCATGTTCACCAACTTGGTTTAGCAAGCTAGCATGCTATACTGGCTTATTATCAGAGCTGCCAAGTCTCACCCTTTGAGAGTGAGAGTCACGCGATTTAACCTCTTCACACGCCTCACGCCACACTTGCCATTTCACACGCTTTTTTCCCCCTCTCACTACTTTATAATTATTTTTGTATTTAATGATATATTTCCATAACTTGTTGCTCGAGGCTTGCCGTAGTTCGAATCAGGGACAGGGTGAGTCCGCCCTATTCTGCCCCCGATTGGCTGACCGAGATATGTGATAACCAATCATCAGCCCTCGAGGCTAAATCTAACCAACCCAACGAAAGGCACCACGTATACAAACCAATCAGAGGGCGGGTCATTGCGTCTCTATCCTATGAAGAACAACCTAACTCTATGGCGGAGAAATCGAAAAGTAAACGTGAAACGTCTGTGTCAGCGCCTCAATAATGCCGTGACTGACATTTTCATCTGAAGCCGGAGGTCAAACGGTAGGTAACCACATTATTTTTACAAATATTTTTATGTTGGTGAAGTCAACGGTGGGTCTGACTACGTGAGACTTAACGTTACACTATGAGGGGCCGTACAGGCCGTAATTCATACTGGTCCTTTCACGCACATACATTCTTCTTTTACATACATATATTTTCACTCTTACAAACATACATTCTCCTTTTACATACATATATTTTCATTCTTACATACATACATTCTCCTTTTACATACATATATTTTCACTCTTAAATACATACATTCTCCTTTTACATACATATATTTTCATTCGTACATACATACATTCTACTTTTACATACATACATTTTCACTCTTACATACATACATTCTCCTTTTACATACATATATTTTCACTCTTAAATACATACATTCTCCTTTTACATACATATATTTTATAATATATGCATGTCTGAAGAGAATATATGTATGCAAGAGAAGAATGTATGTATGTGTGAAGACAATATATGTATGCAAGTGAAGAATGTATGTATGTGTGAAGACAATATATGTATGTGAGAGAAGAATGTATGTATGTGTGAGAGAAAGTATAGTGGAAACGGAAGGAGTATGGTTGAAACGGAAGGCAGGTCATTCTTGCGCTGTGATTGGCTCAGAAGGTCGAGCGGGGCGGGCTCATGTTCAGAACTTCTGATTTCAAATCAACATGATGGAGGGAGATGAATCGCGTAGATTGCAGCAAGCATTAGGGGGTTTAAGGAACATTTTTGTCAACCCTTGAAACTGTCACAAGGGTGGGGGGGGGCACGATACTCGCGGAAGTGATTTCAAAACAAAAGCACTCGTTTGCTTGGAACGTTGAACATAATTATAAACAAGGGGAAACAAGGTGAATTTAGCGATCACAACGAAAACGGCCAAGACACACATTGAGCCCAGAAAATGAATGTTATTAAGGCTGTAAATATAATAAGCATGTGTCTAAAATGGACAACATTGTTAGGAGATTTAAACTATACAGCGATTCTGCACTGCGGTCACTCAGCCGTCTCTCGCGTTTGTCTTTTCAAATCAGCTGCTCTTCATATTTTACAAATATTTTTTACTGAAAGTTCTTAATAAAACTGACACTGTTGGACTCGAGGGGAGAAGAATACATGGACAACATTGTTAGGAGATTTAAACTATACAGAGAGCCGTTTTTTCAAATCAGTAGCTCTTCATTTTCTTTTTACAAATATATTTTACCACAAGTTCTTCATAAAACTGACACTGTTGGACTCGGTACTAGTTTGACTGCTACTAACAATACATTGAAGTACTTTTACTGTGTACTTTGTGAGAAATACTCTGTCAAAGTCCCCTCCATATAGCACATAATCTAATGCATCAGTCCGTCCCAGGCGGGAGTTTATAAACCAAAGAGTAACCGCCCTTACGGCACGCTCTGATAAGTAAAGCGAACGCACCCGCAAGGACACCTGGCCAGGGATGTGACAGTTTCAAGGGTTGACAAAAATGTTCCTTAAACCCCCTAATGCTTGCTGCAATCTACGCGATTCATCTCCCTCCATCATGTTGATTTGAATCAGAAGTTCTGAACATGAGCCCGCCCCGCTCGACCTTCTGAGCCAATCACAGCGCAAGAACGACCTGCCTTCCGTTTCAATCATACTCCTTCCGTTTCCACTATACTTTCTCTCTCACATACATACATTCTTCTCTCACATACATATATTGTCTTCACACATACATACATTCTTCACTTGCATACATATATTCTCTTCAGACATGCATATTATAAAATATATGTATGTAAGAGGAGAATGTATGTATGTAACAGTGAAAATATATGTATGTAAAAGGAGAATGTATGTGCGTGAGAGGACCAGTATGAATTATGGCCTGTACGGCCCCTCATATTACACAGGCTGCTGGTGAGCAGTGTGGCAGGTTGCTGCGGTGGGTTTAACAACAACCGTGACTAATAGCAGTGTTAAATCATCACGTATTTGCGTGTGTGAGCTAATGGATACTTACTATGAGCTAAGGGAATTTACAGTACTGTACCTGTGCTGTTTGCATTTCTGTCTAATAAAATATTCAATCAAACAGTTACATGTAGCTATATTTTGATCCAGAGGATCTGACTGTGGATGTGGGATACTGGTTTAAAGGAAGCACCAATACAGTATGCTAGTAATAATGTACTATGTTTGTTCCCTTTTTCATTAGCACTCTACTTCTAGGTTAAATGTAATTTTGAAAATCTTTTCTGAAATACAAATTTGTAGATACAGAGTTTCATCCGCAAGTTGCTCTCGAAGTTTCTGAAGCCAGCAGCACTGCAGCACCGGGAATTGCATGAAATCCTCTATAAGGACCCATCAAACCAACTGCCATAGGTAATCCTCCAAGTTTCACATCAGCAGATGCACATACACTTTCCACTCACTGATCTCACTCACATGATACTGTTTGTGTTTGTTAGAGGGCTGCTTGTGCAGACAAGTTATGAGTTTGATCATCTCATCTCATCACACACATAGGACCGCAATGGAAACAAGTCCACAGGACTTTTTTATGTTATCCTTTTAGCCCAAATGTGTGACTGTACCTTGTGCTGTTTGCATTTCTGTCTAATAAAGTATTCAATCAATCAATCACTGATGTGATGAAGATACTTAAAGGGGTGCTTTCAAGTTAGCTATTGTGGTTGTTGATGATTGCTAAAGGGACTCAACACCGGTCTTATTCCCAGTCTCATACTGACATGTTGGTGTTGGGAATGAGAACATATTGCATCAATCTTTCTCCAGAATCGCATACAGCACCTTAATGACCTCTGTGATGTTGTTGATTTATTGTGTCTCTCGTAGGAGAAAAGCTGGTGATTGGATTCACTACTCGAGCTACACTCAACAGGCTCCTTGATGCAGGAGACATTACACCGCAGCAAGTGCAGAGGTTCCAGCAGGCAGCAGTGGCATTTCTGGTGAGGGCTGTGGAGTATGCCATGAAGAAACTCCACATGAGAGAGCCCCTGATAAAACATGCCATGTTTCTGGATGTCCAGCAGAGGGTAGAGTGTGGAGTGGAAGACGCCTTGTACTTTGTCGACAGGTTAGTTGGGGTATCAAGTCAAGTACATTTATCTATAGTGCCAAATCATAACACAAGTTATCTCAATATACTTAATAAGTAGAGCAGGTTAAAGACTCTTGGCTCTTGTCACATTTTCTTAATAGATTGTAAAGTTTAATGACCACATCTGAAAAACAACCCGTTTCAGCTACATTACTTGACCAGATCAGTGCACATTGTGTTCTTTTTAGGTTTCCTGAACTTCTCCCATACAACGGACCTGACGAGCGTGACAAACTGAGTGAGGAGTTTTTGGACTACCAGTCCATGGACATTGCCATGCCCGAAGACCCAGCCACGTTCGACATTGAGAGCTTTTGGGGGAACATGGCATCAATGAAGAATAAGGTAAGAATTATTCTGCACCCTTTGAAATACCCATTGACGTAATCAACTTAATTCTATACAAAAATACTTGAGAGTAATTAGGCTTCCTACATTTTTCAAAGGTGACCGGTATGAGCAGATTTGGGAGGCTCTCTCGTATTGCCAAGTTGGTGTTGGTACTTCCACATTCAAATGCTGATGCTGAACGAGTGTTCTCTGTGGTGGGACTGAACAAAACCCGAAAAACTGTTTGGCTCTTGATGGAACTCTATCATCCATCATGACTGTGAAGATGGCAAACCTTGAGCCACAGTGTTTCAAATGGGAGCCCCCTCCCTCTGTCATCAAGGCATCAACATCTGCCACAAACACCTACAACATGAGACATGTCATGTAAACCAAAACACACGAACAAAGACATGCACTTTATTTATTTATAAATATAAATTATATATAAATATATATATATATATATAATATATAAATATATACGCATATATATATATATATATATATATATATATATATATATATTATTCTGGTTCTAATTTTGTTACTCTTAAAAAAAAAATGCACTAAAGGAAAAGGCTGCGATTGGTTCTTAAAAGGCTGCTATGTTTTCTTTATATTGACATTTTATAAATAAATGTATTTTATTTGTCAAACTTTTATTTGTTACAATTGTTTTCATTTCTACTTGTGCT